TCAGGAATTTTGCTATAGCAACATAGAACACTCATATGTGGGGTGCAGTTATCAGCATGATGTTGTGATTTATTTCTAAAACGTCACCCAAAAGTTTCAGAAGGGCCCCTTCCTAGAGGCTGAACAGATGGGACCACTTCATCTTGTCTTTCCAGCCTCCAAACCTGTAAGCAAAATAAATCTTTTTTCTTTATCAAGTACCCAGTCTCAGGAATTTTGCTATAGCAACATAGAACACTCATATGTGGGGTGCAGTTATCAGCATGATGTTGTGATTTATTTCTAAAACGTCACCCAAAAGTTTAATGTCCAGAGATGGGCCATGCTCAGAAGATACAGGTCACTGGGACAAGAACTGGAAAGGCATATTCTTCTCCTGGGCTCCTCCTTCCTCTACTTCTTAACTGCCATGGGTTAAGCAGCTTTCTTCTGCTATGTCTTTCCATTATGTTGTTTCTGCCTTGGAATTTGCCTGCCATGAACTCAATCTCCCAAAATCATAAGCCAAAATAAAGCTCCTCTTCAAATTGTGCTATTGGCTCTTGGTGCCAGCAATGAGAAAGTGACGACCACAGCAGGTTTCATGAAGTTGTCCCACAGGAGCTGGTCACCAGGAGGAAGTTATATAGACAGTTACCTGGGCCAGCCACCTCGGGGAACTGGGAGGAGGCAGGGAAGCAGAAACTATGTCAAGGATGACCAGCCTTGCTTTTGCTATGAAGAAGTGCAATTTATATACAAGATGGATGCCAAGGAAATAAAATTATGAAAATTCACTGTACTGTGTGTGTGTACACAAAGAAGGGATCATAGGAGCACACCGAGATGGCATCTGCCCACAAGTCACGACAAGAGGCCTCAGAATGAAATCTACCTGCCAGCACCTATTTCGGACTTCCAGCTTCCACAACTGTGAGAAACAAGTCTTTGTTGTTAAAGCTACTGCATCTATGATACTTTGCTGTAGCAGCTAAGTAGACCAATATGCCTCACCTACAGCCAACAATTCTAATCATGAGTATTTGCCCAAGAAAAATTAAATCTATGTCCACCAAAATACATGTATACTAATGTTTAGAGAAGCTTTATTCACAACTCTGAAACAATCTAAATGTCTATCATCGGATGAATGCATAAAGAAATTTTGCATATTTATGCACGGAAATGTACACAGTAATTGAAAAGATAGGACTACCAATATATAGAATATCATGGATGGATATGATAAATAATATGTTGATTGAAAGAAGCCAGAAACAGAAAGTATACACCAGATGATTCCATGTAACATGAAGTTTTAGAAGTAGCAAAATTAATTTATGGTAAAAGAAATCAGAATAGTGTTTGCTCATGGCCTTTTGGTTTTGTTGGTTTGTTAGTCAGCCTTCTAGTACTGTGGCAAAATACCTGACATAATCAATTTATAAAGAGGAAAGGTTTATTTTGGCTCATGGTATCAGTTTATTGTTACTTGTCCCTGTTGTTTTGGGCTTGTAGGAGCACGCTATATCATGGTAGGAGAACAGGGCAAAGAAATAGCTTGTGTCAGCCAGGTAGCAAGAGAGAGAGGGAAAAAGAGAGTCCAACACCCCCTATTCAAGGGCACCCCTTCCCCACTGATCTAATTTCACATCATCAGCCCCACTTGTTAAAGCTTCCACCATCTTCCACTAGCAAAATGAGCATGGAACCAACCATTGAACACATGGGCCTTTGGGGGACATCTTAGAAGGCAAACTATAGCAATTTGCACGTAGCTTTGAGAGAACTTTCTGAGATGATAAGAATATTCCATGTGTTATTCGACATGGTACAAATTTATTGACATTTATAAAATATGCACTTATCTTCATTTCATTAGATATAAAAAGGAGTACCAGAGAAACAAAACAATGAACATCAGTAATGTGTAACTGACTGTTTAAAGTTGCAATTCTTCCCAATTAATGAGCCCTCCTGGGGCCGAATATTGAGCAGCACTGAAGACAAAAGTTGCTATCAGTAAGTAAGCCCACTGTGCTTGGCTCTGGTGGCTTGACAGCCATTGTGAAATATTTTCCACAGCACCTCTTGCTGAAGAGTAGTGCTTACGTCAAACACTGTGTGTCCACACACACGCGTGCCATTTTAACCGTGCAATGGCTTAGCAGAGCTCTCCTTGCTTTGTTCTCACCATATACTCTCGCTCAAAAGCAGTACATTCTTTGACATTCTAGACTAGATAAAGGAAGGATTGTTAAAAGAAATTATCATCTCCCCCGATAGCTGCAGTATCTGGTTTCTAAGCACACTTATAATACAGTGCTCCAAAGTTAACAGAAATATGGCTAAAGGCAGGGGAGCCACCTCTAGTGATCCTTTGACTGCTCAGGAAAGAATGCTTTCTGAAAAGAATTGCACCAGTAGCCAGCAGCATGGTGCCCTGGGAGCTTTGCACCTCTGCCTTGCACCTTTCTGAGGACCTCACTAAGAGGAAGAGCGCTGTTTGAAGTCAGCAAGAAGAGAATCTCTCCAGATCGGGAGCAGGAGTGGGAATTGTGGCCTGGAAATTCATTTCCTTGCCTGGGAAGTCTTCCTGCACCTCAGACATCTGCCTACCCCACAGAAATTCACGCAGTGCACCAGCAGGCAGAGCGTGTCACTGCAGCATGTTTCTCAAAAAGACTATTACACCTTTTTTCTCTTAGGATGCTGGGTATCCAACCAGGGCTTGATGCAGGCCAAGCACATGCTGCACCATGGAACTCACCCCAGACCTCAGTTTTAGCCCATCTGAAAAAAGCAAAACACAACAACCTCTTCAGATAATTCAATAGCTTGTCTGTTCTAGGTCATTCGATTCACTGCAGATAAAGGATTGCGTTTTAGTTTGTTTCCTGTTTGTTTCTTGCCTTCCTTGGATTTAACTGAACATTTTTTTGAATTTTGTCTAGATTTATTTAAACCATTTACTTTTTACTAATCATTTTGTACAATTTTTAAACAAATTTACTCTAAGAATAATAATATGCTCACAAATTATGACAGACAACAAAGCGCAAAAGACCCATTTCCATTGAGGTCTCCCCCATTTGAAAACATAGAGTAATGCCTCCACTCATGAGGGAGTCTCTTGGCAAACAAGTCTGTTCCCACACATGGGCATTCAGCAAAATTTTGCCTCCATTCTCCAATTCCCTTTGGGTGACAAACACTATCGTGGCCACCTCCCCCACACAAACACAAACATAGCCATCTGCCCAAAATCATAAAACCAATTAAGTTTGGGCAATTGTTTGCTTCTGTACCTCAAAATAAACAACCACAAGTGTGAAGAGAGAGCATACAGAATAGGGAAAAATGATTTTAATTTCTTTTTATCAGTCAGTATATGTCATACACATCAATCGCATTCATCGTAAGGAATTTATATCTACATATAACATCTTAATTCTTCTTTACCCCCATAAAAGAAATGTGATTCCATTTTTATGCACATAGATGTGTGTATACACATAATAGCCTTTATGAATAGATGTAAAGTTTTTGTTGAGCCTTTTTCTTAGTTACATGTTTTTTCACCCCACATACTATGTAAATGTTCATAAGGAATGCATTATTCTCAGAAGTACACTAAATCTGTTTTAAAAAGGAGGATATTTATTGGCAAATTCAAACATCTAAGGTATATTCTTCAAAAAAAACAGGTTACAAGTGGTATATACAATATTCCATTTTGTTTTAAAACAAAACATGAGCAGAGCACCCTGGAAGGCTTAGGCAGGAGGAACATAAATACCAGCCCAGCCAGGGCGGTTAAGTGACTCGGCTGAGACCCTGTCTCACAAGAATAAAAAGGGCTGGGGATGGAGGTCATTGTGCAGGCCCTGAGTTCAATCCCCAATCCTGGGTTGGGGAACAGAGCATCAGTGAATGACAAACAGATTCATAAGCAGCTGAAAGGGCCGCTAGAAGTTCCTGAATTTAGCACAGACTTCTGGTCCGTGACATCAAGGGCATGTTTCGTCTACCTCTGGTATTTGCCAATCAAACCTTCCAGATGTGTTTTTCTTTTAACTGGAAGCATTCACTTCAGTTTCTCTTCCACTTGTTGGCTTCTCCATACCTGGAATGGCTTCCCCTCTCTTCCTCGACTCGCCTCACTGCCCCAGAATCTTTGCTCCATTCTCACCAGCCTGGGCCACCGTACTCACTCCCAAATGGCCCAGAGCCCCAACCCTGCTCCTGTTTGGCTTTTTCTCATAACGCTTATCCTCTTTAAAAGTCATATAATGATGACCAGGACTTACACGCTGCTCCTTACCACTTTAAAGAAATATACTCCAGGACAATAATGTTCATTTTGTCCACCGACATTTGTCAAACCGCTTAACTGCCCGGCCCTTAAATGCCCTGCATGTAACAGGTGTTCTGTGGTATTTAGCTGAGTAATCTCAGGAGAAATGGGTCTGTTCTGGGCCACTGCCTGGGGGCCACACCCTCATTCACGCAAACGCAGAGGTACAAGACACTGCCCCACAGTGAATTTCGGTTCACTTCCTGGAACCCAAGACTCTGCAGCTCGCGGAAGGCCACAGGGGCTCAGGCAAGCTCCAGGGCACCTCCTGGGTGTCTGTGCTCCAGATCCACGCAACCCAGAGAAATGCGCAGGACTACACTTCCCAGAATGCCGCGGGCTTAGGCGAACTCCACTTCCCAGCGGCACCAGCGGCCGTCGAGCTCCGCCTCCGCCTCCGCCCCCGCCCCGTGCCGCAGC